ACTTCCCGCGTTGCATATTACTGCTAGGATATCTATGAGAAACTTCAATATGCCTCCAGCCTCTGCCATAATCATCTGATGGAAAAGTCGCTTTTAGATCTGTTGTCGAAAATCCCGCTCCGCCACCGAGAAAACGGGGACGCCCTCCCAAAAAGCCACGTCAGCCTGCAGATTCTGAGGAAGCGGCAACGTAAGTCTGAACTTTCTTGTTTGATTAGTTCATTTAACCCCCTGATTTTTCATATTTGATTGTTTAACAAGCTGTCATTGTTGCATGAATCTTCTTGCTTCCGTTTTCTATACCACTGATATCAAATTTTGAATAGTGGCATCGAAAGCTATTATCTCAAAACGAAGCTTCTGAAAATTTGGTGGAGGATCTGGAGACGGTTAACTATACACAAAAACACAAACAATTTGAGAACCTGGCTCATGAAAGTTTCAACTTTTGCTTCTTATAATAGAACACGTGGATATGCAACACGATTCGTACCTTAATAGTTCAACTGACGCTCTATTCTAGTAGATTCTCGCTTCCATTATATCATAAAGGAAACGTCATAGTGTTGATTAATCACATCTCTGCGTTAAGAGATTTGTGATCGACTATGAAAGGCAATTTCATAGTGAAGTAAGCTTATGGAGCACTATTTTCCAGATTTCTAAAAGAAAGCTTAAGTGAGAGACAAAGTTACTTCTCATATGCGTGCTCACTTCTACAACTTCTTACTGACATTCAGAAACGGAGACCATACAACTGCTGATGGAACTCCACACAAGAAGCGTGGCCGAAAATCAAAAGCTGAACTGGCTGCTTTGGCAAGTAGCAAAGAATCACCAAATGAAGAAGAAAGCCAGTCGCTACCGTCGCCTTCGTCGGAAAAGCGTCGCCGTCCATCAGCCTACTCGTACGCAGAATACTCGGAGTATGAGATTAACAAGACTTATTTTGAACATTTCTAGGCAGAACTAGGCATAGTTGTATCTTTGTACAATACTGAGTTTGGAAGTTTTAGTGCATCTGAAGGGAGCGACGACGAAATGCCTGCAAAACCTCAATCGCCAAAGAAAACAGACGAAAATAAAGCGCCACCCACATTCCCCAGGTAATGTTAGTGTTGCATTGTTGTACTTATTGATAGAGTAATCTGATGAGTAAATCTGAATTTG